CCCCCCCCCCCCCCCCCGCCCGGCCCCAGCCGGTTCCAGCCCGCTTTGCAGCGAGGGCCCCAGCCGAGCCCATCAGTGCACCTGGGGTTCCTCTGGGAAAGTGTAGTGAAGAAAGAGCAGAAATGCCGGAGCACTGAGGAGTGAGGGAGGAAAAGTGAGAGAGCGTCCTGTGAACAGCCGGGTCAGGGATGAAGGAGGAGAAGGTGCTCCAGGAGCTGGAGCAGAGAGTCTTCTGCTGCCCACAAGGAGATCCCAGGGGAATGGGTGGATATTCATAGAACCATTGACTAGTTTGGGTTGGAAGGGACCTTTCAAGGCCATCCAGTCCAACCTCCCTGCTGTGAGCAGGGACATCTTCAACCAGATCAGGTTGCTCAGAGCCCCGTTCAGCCTGTCTTTGAATGGTTCCAGGGATGGGGCTTCTATCACCTCTGTGGGAAACCTGGGCCAGTGTCTCACCACCCTCATTGTGAACAATTTCTTCCTTACACCTAGTCTAAATGTCCTCTCTTTTAGTTTAAAACCATCACCCCTTGTCCTATCGCTACAGGCCCTGATAAAAAGTCTGTCCCCACCTTTCTTATCAGCCCCCTTCAAGTACAGAAAGGCCACAATAAGGTTTCCCTGGAGCCTTCTCTTCTCCAGGCTGAACAGCCCCAACTCTCTCAGCCTTTCCCCACAGCAGAGCTGCTCCAGCCCTCTGAGCATTTCTGTGGTCTCCTCTGGACCAGCAGGTCCATGTCTTTCCTGTGCTGAGGACTCCAGAACTGGACACATATCCCCTGAAGGAACCAGAGCCCCTGGAAAGTTCATGCTGAAGCAGATTTTTCCTCAAGGAATTATCAAACCTGTGGGAGGGACCCACACTGGAGCAGGGGAAAGGAGCAGCAGAGAGGACCTGCTTCAGACAGACCATAACCCCTGTCCCTCTGCACCACTTCGGGTGACAAATGAATAAAGGAGTGAAGCTGAGCTGGGGGGGGGGAAGATGTTATTTCAATTTTGGTTTATTTCTCGCTATTCAAATATATTTGAACTGACAATAAATTAAATTAGTCTTCCCCAAATCAAGGCTGTTTTGCCCATGATGATAATTGGTAATCTCCCTGTCTTTATGTCTGCTTTTTCATCTTCTTTT